GTGTGGCTTTCTTTCTCTCTTTCCTCTCTCTCTCTCTCTCTCTCTCTCTCTCTCTCTCTGTCTCTCTCTCTGGTAAAATTAAAAAATAAAAATGAATGAATAAATAAAATAAAAGAATTTTTAAAAAGAACACTCCTAGTTAAACACAACTAAAGACTTCTATTTTAGAAGTTTTTTTATAGTTTTCTCTAAAGATTTAACAATATGTACCTTTCTCCTGATCTTTCCCAATTTATCCCATCCTCCCCTCCTAATCTCACCTACCCTCCTCTCCCAATCTCGACCAGAGCTCCAAATGTATTTGTTAAATAGAGTGTATAACATTTCATTTGAAAAGAGTTTGTTCTACCATTTCAAAAAATAAATTGGAAAACCAGTTATCTAGATTTCTATTTTCCTTTTCAGATCCAAGATTCTGTTTCAATTGCTCAAAATTAAGCTTTACTCAATATTATTCTTTACTGTCAGCCATGCTGACTTCATCATTCAGTTTTGATATTTATTGTTTATCTCACCAAAGATGCTTTCATTGATGACTGTTCTTGTTCTTTGCTCTTATAAAATCCTAATTCTGAGTCTCTTTCTTCAACGATTTTATCATATTGGTGCTAAATTAAACAAAAAAATTTTAGATATATTAAAACTGTATAGATTATGTTTTAGTAAGACTGGTATCATAATATATTTAACATTAGCAGAAAATGATGCTTATAAATTCAGTAATAAATATCTTTGACTATATATAAATATATATATGTATATTTTATTTTTATTTTTTTGCTATAGGATGCATGTACTTGCGAAAGAGAAATAAAAGTGAAGGTGAGAAAGTACTCCACAGAGGGAATGGCCATGCCATAGTCCATTCTTCTCCTTTTTCCTTTTGGGATGTTGGGCACACAAATATACGTGCCCAGCATGTTTTTCTTTCTTTCTTTTTTTTTGGAGAGGTTTTTCACTATAGGGCCCGTGCGATCACCAGACAGACAGAGAGAGACATAGAGACAGAAAGTGAGAAATCACCCCCCAGGGGGGATGGCCACGCCACAATCCCTTCTCCTCCATTCTCCTCTCGGGATCTTGGGCACGTACGCACATGCGCCCAGCGTGAGTTTTAAGCCACCGGGTCCGGGACTCGAACCACGGTCAACTATGTGGGAGTCCAGAGACATAGCCTTTACGCTAACTGCTGGTTCCTCCAAGCATGTTTTTCTAGCCACCAGGTTCAGGACTCAAAACTGCGCTTTCAGCTATGTGGGACCTAGCCACCTTAACTACCACGTCATTGGCTGGCCCAAGTACACATTTAAAATTTTGTTTCAATTGTATTTCTTTCATTTGAACAACCTAAACAGTGAAATATAGACCATAGTCTTGTAAATACTCAAACATGAGAGCAAGAAAGAAATCTTTTTCAAGTAGAAACATTGAATTTTATTGTTTAAAACATATACTAGAGGGCCATCTTTGTGACACTGTGGTTGTGCACTGCTCAAGAGAAGCTGGATTCCACATAACCACTGAGGTTCAAATCCTCAGCCACATCAGTCTGAAACATCTGAGCCATGTGTACAAATGCCTACAATCTGACAGGCAGGAGGTCTGGAGGAAGGGGTGGCATGCCCAAACCCTGTGGAGGGCGGTGCTTCTCTCGCTCTTTCCTACCCCCACCCTTGTAAGTGTGCACACTGCCTATCAAAACTAAAGAAAAAAATATATGTTGGAAACACCAGGATTTTATAAAAAAGTGACTGATTCCATCTGGGACAGAAAATAAAAGATAAGCCTTTAACATTTTGCCACAATAAAAAGATAGCTATCAGAGACACTCAGAATCAAGTCAAAGGTACTTGCTAGTCAGCTTAAAGAGGATTCTCCTGGCTAGGGGTGGGATAATTTGTGTATCGGTAAGGATAAAAATTGAATTGAATTAAAATATACCAAATTTGTTTAAATCTATGAGTTCACATCATTATTTAAATTATTTTTTTAATTCTCATTTGTTACCGCATAATAATGTTCAATTTCAGTAACAATTTTTTTTTCTTTTTTTCTTTTTTTTTTTTTAAGAGGTTTTTGCTATAGGGCGTGTGTGCTCACCAGACAGAGAGAGAGAGACAGAGAGACAGAAAGCGAGAAATCATCCCCCAGGGGGGATGGCCACGCCGCAATTCCTTCTCCTCCATTCTTCTCTTGGGATCTTGGGCATGCACGCACATGTGCCCAGTGTGTTTTAAGCCACCGGGTCCAGGACACGAACCGCGGTCGACTACGTGGGAGTCCAGCAACATAGCCATTACGCTAACTGCTGGTCCTCAGCAACAATTTTTTTGAGATATTTTTGCTATAGGGCACACAGACTCATCAGAGAGACAGAGAGAGAGAGACAGAAATGAGAAATCACCCCCTGGGGGAATGGCCATGACACAATCCCTTCCCCTCCATTATCTTCTTGGGATCTTGAGCATGCACATACACGCGCCCTGCGTGAGTTTTTTAAGTCGCCGGGACCAGGACTTGAACTGTGGTCAACTACATGGGAGTCCAGTGATGTAACCATTATGCCATCTGCTGGTCCCTCAGCAATTTTTAAAAGTGGATAGGTACAGCAAATCTCCTCTCCTAATCCTGAGGAAAATGAGGCTTAATTCCCTAACAGAAGAATTACTCTAAAACAACAATAAAATTAAAAAAAAAAAAAAGACAGCTACATGAACAATAAACAGTAAGCCTTTCACCTACTGAATCCTTCGAAAAAAATTTGTTTGACCTAGTGTGTGTCAGATACACATAGAGATTACAAATATATATAATTTTTTACTTTCTAGGTCAATATTTCTATAATTAAAAAAAATAAGCATGTACTACTTTGGAATCACACACAAATAATGTTTCTGTCAAGAATAACTCTAACAGAGAACTCTTTACTACTCATTCTGAACCACAGTAAGCTGTAAAAATGACAAAAAGTCCAATCTTATTCTTTCTTTGAACACCCCTGAAGTCACTGCCATTGATAATTAATTGGAAAGACATTGAAGGTGAATGGTGTTGCTGCAGGTCTGACCAGGCATTCTGGAGCTGACCAAAGAGCCAAGTCTCCAGGATCTACAAATTCTGAGGTTCTTGGGCCGACCGATCCTCAGCACAGCTACCTAAAACTAACAGCTGACAGTTCCCCCTACTGTGATACTTCTGTCTTTACTGATGAGGACTGAAGAAAGACCCTAAAGGCTAAAGGCAAATCTGGATTTAATCAGAATGCAGACTATAAGGCATCAATCTTACTCTTCCAGAGACTTATTGCTAATGATGACCTATAATATAATATGTGAGTAGTATCATAAAGACACAAGAAGTTGGGGAATGAGGCAAAAAGTTGAAGGCAGAGTGTCTTAAAATTCTTTGTGAGAACAAGATAGAAAAGTATACATTTAGATGTGAATAATAGGAAACTAAAAAATTAGACCTTACATGGTCTCTCAAATATCAAAACAAATCATGGTGATGAGAGTTCCTAGAGCATACAAATATTATGAGATATATATCCTAAGTATGTACTTAAATAAATATTAGATGGGATAAGCTATAAGAGCTATTAGGTGATTTCAGGAAAACATTACTACAATCCACCATAAATGGTTAGGAGAGATTTCTTTAAGTAAGAAATACCCAAGCTCCTCTTTGTATAATTCAGGTCTAAACTTGAAGAAATGAAGGATCAAAGATATTTCAGCTACAATTAGTCATTGTTGCATAGACAGTAGTTTTCTCTGACAAATCATAATATAGCTTCATTTTACCATTCTAAACAGAAATAAGGCTCTAATGAATAATTTTCATTATATAAAAAAATCACCTTATGTTTTTCCATAAGTGCTACCATTTCAGCTATTTTATGTTGACATCGTATATCAATTTCTTTCTGTAATTTTACTGCTTCATCAGCTGTTACTTTGGCTTTTTCAACCTATCAAATAAATAAAAAGTGTTTCTTTAAATTAATGCACAAGAAAACTTAAATGTAATTCAAATACCAGGAAAACTGGAAAAAAATATAGAAACTGTATTTTCTTGGGATTTTTTTTAGGGTGTTCTCTAAGGTGATTTAACACTGTAACATTGTGATAATCATTTAATCTTTTTGAAGTAATTATATGGTACTCAATATTCAAATATTTAGAACAAGGAAATATTTAACTTTTACAGAAATTGATAACTATCCCTATATAAATTTGTTGTATCTTTTTAAAATTATACTTTAAATGTTAACAATACTATTATATTCCTTTTAAGATAATAAACAAATAAAGAACTTTAGTACAATAAATTCTAAACACATTAGTTTTTCCTACCTCTCCCAAAAGATTTTCTTCTGATATTTTTTTGTCCTCAATTTCTTTTTGATAGCTGTCAGTCATTTCTTCAAATTTCTGTTTGGTACTTTCTAGTTCTAACTCTAATTTACTGACCTTCAAGTGAAGAAAATAGCATGAATAGTAGTAAATTATGTGGATTACCTGAAATTTTTCCATTTTCAATTTGTGGTTTATGAATATTAAAAGACTACTTATTCATAAAAGTTATGGTTGGATCACTGTCATTACATTTTTCGTACAGTAAAATGTGTTTTACATTTCAAAAAAATTGAACTTCCCTAAAATACATACTTAGTCTTGACAAGTAATATTTAAAAAGTCAAATATTCATTTCTCACAAATTTCTCAAGAATATTAAACTGGGCGGGCCAGCAGGTTGCATGATGGTTGAGGCACTGGACTCCCACATGGTCAACCATAGTTCACGTCCCAGTTCTGGTGGCTTGAAAAACAAGCTGGGCACGTGTGCATGCATGCCCAAAATCCTGTAATTTCTATCATTTCACTGCTTCATCAGCTACTACTTTGGCTTTTTCAACCTATCAAATAAATAAAAAGTGTTCCTTTAAATTAATGTACAAGAAAACTTAAATGTAATTCAAACACCAGGAAAACTGGAAAACAGTGTAGAAAATGTATTAATTGTCTTGGGATTTTTTTGTCTTGGGAAGAAAATGGTGGAGAAGATATTGTGGTATGGTCACCCCTCCTGGATAGTAATTTCTCACTTTGCCTCTCACTCTCTGTCTCTCTGATGAGCACATGATGCACCCCATGGCAAAAAACCTTTAATTAAAAAAAAAAATTGCTTTGGCTATTCTTGCCCTAATTCTCTTACATAAAAATTTCTGAATCAGGTTTGTCAATTTCTCTAACAAAAACCTATGATTTAAAAAAATTATTATTCATTCATTTTATGAGAAAAACAGAAAAAGAAGAAAACAGCAGAATCCTTAAGCCATGATCCACCCCCAGCTTCAGCCAGCCCTGGATCATGTGCACACCTACGCCTGATATATTCAGAGCAGTCTCTAAACACCAGTCCAGAACCCTCCCCTCCCATGTGGTTCATGCTCCACAGAGCATATCATTTTAACACTATACCACTATCCAGCCCCTAAACTGATAAAATTCTAATTGATTATGTAGAACAATTTAGAGAAAACTAGTATATTCATTTTCACATAAATAGTATATATATTTTTTTCACATTTTTGTCATAGGGCACATGCACTCACTGGAGAGATACAGAGGGAGATGGAGAGGGAAAGTCAAAAAGCACCCCCATCCCAGGGGGAATGGCCACTCTGCAATCTTATCTTCTCTCAGGATTTTTGACACACACACACACACACACACACACACACACACACACGCCCAACATGATTTTCAAGCCATCAAGTCCAGGACTCTAACTGTGTTGTCACCTAGGTGGGATCCAGCATGTTAACCACCATGCCACTTACTCACCAACAAATGGTATAGTTTTTAAATTACATTTTCTAATACTTGACTGCAGGTGCTTAAGACTGGTAATACATTTTGTGTAATGATTTTATATCTAACAAATTTACTAAACACATCTAATAATTTTATTAATCTACAGATTATCATAGATTTTCTACATGTACAACTGCTGTCTAAAACCATTTGAGTCTAAAGTTGGTTTTGTTAAAAGATTATAAATCATTGATTCAATTTCTTTACAAGAACAATCAAATTATTTCTTCTAACAGGCTTATTATTTCCTCTTCAGATTGTTTTGGTTAATCTACTTTATGTTAACTTTTTCAAATATATTAGCATAATAATGTTCATAGTAAAGGTATCAATTTTAGGCTTTGATTAAAATGTATGTTGCAATTTCTTGATTAATAGAACTGGTAAGTGGGCTACCTGGCGGCATGGTGGTTAGGGCAGCTGGATCCCTAATAAAAATTGCATAGATCAAGTCCTGGAACCCAGTGGCTTGAAAAAAAACACTGGGCATATGTATGTGTGCATGTCCAAAATCCCAAAATGAGAATGAAGAAGGATTCATGGCGTGACCATCCCCATGAGTGCTCTATCACTTTCTCCTTCTCTGTGCTTCTCTTGCTCCACCAAGTGTACGTGCACTATGGCAAATTAAAAAGAAAAAAAAAAAGGTCAGCAGGTGGTGTGGAAGTTAAGGCTGCTGAATTCCACAGGGTCAACTTTGTAGCATAAAAATCACACCAAGCACATGTGTGTGCACACCCAAAATCCCAAGAGGAGAATGACAAAGGAACTATAGTATGGCCATCCCCTCTGTGTGATTTCTCACTCTTCCCCAAAACCCTGCCTGTCTCTCTCTGGCAAGCACACACATCCTATAGTTTATAAGGGAAAAAATAAAAATGAGGACATATTCTGTATGACCTCAATCTTTTGAATTTTATGGTAATATATACTGTACTTTTTGTCAAAGAGTTTGAGCACTCTTGAAAAGTATGTTTCTCTCATTTTTGAACCTAAAAAAATTATACTTCTCCAACTTTCTTAAAAGATAGATATGTTGGGACCAGCAGTTAGCGTAATGGCTATGTCGCTGGACTCCCATGTAGTTGACTGTGGTTCACGTCCCAGACCCGGTGGCTTGAAACTCACACCGGGCACGTGTGTGTGTGCGTGCCCAAGATCCCGAGAGGAGAATGGAGAAGAAGGGACTGCGGCGTGACCATCCCCCCTGGGGGGTGATTTCTCGCTTTCTGTCTCTCTGTCTGTCTCTGTCTGACTGGAGAGCGCATGCGCCCTATGGCAAAAAACTCTCAAAAAAAAAAAAAAAGATAGGTATGTTGTGGACACAATACAAAGTTGACAGTTATTCTCAGTATAGGAGAATATTTTCCCACTCTTTTCTGATATCCATTTTTGTTTATTGAGATGACCATGGTTAGACTCTTGTCATTCTCTCATTGGTGATATTTCATTCCATTCTAGCTACTTTTCTAAAATAATTCTTTATTTTATTATTATTATTATTATTTTAAATTTGACCAGAAAGAGACACAGAGAGAAAGGCAAAGTGAGAAAGCAAGCTACCAGGTCCAGGACTCGAATCATGGTCAGCCATATGAGAGTCCAGCACCTTAACCAATGCGCCACTTGCTGGCCCCTCTATATCTACTTTTAATACCAATATGTCCAATATTCTGTAATTTTACTATACTAAGTATAGATGTGGATTTCTTTTCATTTTTCCTGCTTAAGCTAAACCTCTCTTCCTATATCTGAACTCATATCTTTCAATTCAAAAAATTCTCAATAATTACTGACTCTCCCCAGATTATTCTATTTTCCTCTTTTTTCTGGAAAACACAAAGTCCATACAAAACAAACTCATTAAGAAATATGAAAAAAGATAACAATATAATAGCATATAAGTGAGATATACAAAGGAGATCATATATTTTAAAGCCAAATATACCAATAAAAAAACTTCATAAAATAAATTAAAAAGACAACAAATGGTCAGATTATATTGAAGTGTAAACTCCAAGAGCTATATGCCATTTATAAAAGACATCTAAAACATAAAGATACAGAAAAAATAAACAAATTTGAAAACTATGTCATGCAATCAATGAACAGAAGAAAACTGGTATAATTTTAACAATAACATAAAAACTGTATTCTTAGGCAAAAAGCACTACTAGAGACAACTAAGATATCTTTGGTTTAATAAAAATATCTGTTAAAGGCCCAACTGTGGTAGTGCAAGTGGTAAGGCACCACTGAGCAATTCTGAAGCCATACGGGAGGCCATGGGTTTGGATTCCAGGTTGACCTAAACATGCTAGATGCACCAATGATTCCAGTTAGCTGGGAGACTCAGGAAAAGAATCAAAATGTGGCAAAATCCTGGTAAGGATGTTTGTCTCTATCTATTCCAAGAAATAAAAAACTAAAAAAAATTATTATATATAAGCACATAAAAGTATATACCTTAAGTATACATTAAAAAGTCCCACCTTACATAATAAAAAGGTGCATATATTACAAATAACATACACCTAAAAATAAGGCCTTAAAATACAGTTGACAGAACTACAAATATATTAACAGAAATCCACAATCATGTGAGATTTTTAGATACATCTATTTCAGTCAAGTAATTAATAAAACACACAAAGAAAAAAGTAAAGATATGAAATAAAAAAAGACACATAAATGTAAAGAATATGACTAATAACCCTGATGAAATGGAATACTTTCACCCAGAATCTGCGTTAATTTCAGATACATAAAACATGTTTATAAAAAGTGACCCTAGGGGGACCAGCAGTTAGTGTAATGGCTATGTCGCTGGACTCCCAAGTAGTCGACCGCGGTTTGTGTCCCAGACCCGGTGGCTTAAAACTCACACCGGGCACATGTGCATGCGTGCCCAAGACCCCGAGAGGAGAATGGAGGAGAAGGGATTGCGGCATGGCCATCCCCCCTGGGGGGGTGATTTCTCGCTTTCTGTCTGTCTTTCTCTGTCTGTCTGGCGAGCGTACATGCCCTATAGCAAAAACCTCTTAAAAAAAAAAAAGTGACCCTAGGGGCCAGCGGGTGGCATGGTGATCATGGTCCTGGTTTCCCTCGTGGCCAATCATAATTCAAATCCTTGACCTGGCTGCTTGAAAAACTACACCAGATGCATGTGCATGCATGCCCAAAATCTCAAGAGGAGAAAAGATTGCAGTATGACCATCCCCCCCAGGGAGTGATTTCTCACTATGTCCCCACCTGTGTCTCTCTCCAACAATCACATGCATCCTATGGCAAAAACCTTAAAAAAATTTAAAAAAAAAAGTGACCCATATTATATTAGGCTATCCATCAATAAATTTCAAAGTACTGAAGTCATACCAGAGTGTGCTTTTTAAGCATAATGCAATTTATGCTAGAAATCAGCAACAAAACCATAATGTATTCTCTTGAGTTTAGAACATAAGAAATATAGGAGATACTGAACTAAACAGTACTAATTTTCTATTTACCAAAACCTATAGGATACAGCTACAGCAATGCTTAAAGGGAAATTTATAGCCTTAAAAAACATGCCTCAGTAAGACTTAAAATTAATAATCTCAGAATCCATCTCAAATGAACTAAGTAAAAATAGTAATAAAGGCGGAAGAAAATAATAAGAAACAGAAATTCATGAAACAAAACCAATCAACAGAGATAAAGTGAAAAGTTACATTTCTTTAAACTTCCAAAATTGACAAAATCTGGTGACACAGATTTAAGTATATATATATATATATATATATATATATATATACACACACACACACACACACACACACATATATACATATATATACACACACACACACACAAGATGACACAATAACCAATACCAGGATTAAAAAGAGGATGCTACTACAGATGCTACTGACACTTTGTTTTTGTTTTTGGAGAGGTTTTTGCTACAGGGCGCGTGCACTCGCCAGAAAGACAGAGAGAGACAGAGAGACAGAGAGCGAGAAATCACTCCCCAGGGGGGATGGCAATCCTTTCTCCTCCATTCTCCTCTCGGGATCTTGGGAACGCACACACACCCGCCCAGCGTGAGTTTAAGCCACCGGTCCAGGACTCGAACTGTGGTCAACTACATGGGAGTTCAGCGACATAGCCATTAACGCTAAATGCTGGTTCCGCTACTGACACTTTCGAAGCTATAGAAAATATGTAAGAACTGGGCAAAATCCAGGAAAATATTATTTACTAAAATTAAAGAAAGAAGACAATTAAATATTACTGAAACCACTGATTAAACTATTTCAGAAATTAACAGCCTTTCCACAAAGGGAACTCTAGGCTCAAGAGCTTTCATCAATAAGTTCAACTTTACTGAGACATACATAAACTCAATTTACAAGGGTTATATCCTGATAAACTCAGATAAAATCATAAACCAGGGAACATCAGTAATTTACATGCAATAAAATGTATGATTTTAAGTGTAAAGTTTGATAGGCTTTGACAAATGTTTTTAGAACCATGGAATGGCAACACCAATCAAGATACACATAATTTCTGGAAGTATCCCATAGCACAACATGTAAGTGCTGTGCACAGGAATTCAAATCCCACATGGCTGATCATGGTTTGAATCCCAGCTCTGGCAGATTGAGAAACACACCGGGTACATGTGTGTGGGACCCAAAGTCCTGGCAGGATGGAAAAAAAAAAGACTGAGCCATGACCACAACTGATCGAAGGGTACTTTTTCTCCTCTCCCTCTGTCTCAACCTGTGACAAGTGTATGTGTCCTCTGGCAATTAAAAAAATATATATATATAGGGCGGGGGAAAAGCTGCCCTATAGCACAATGGTTAAGCCTACAAATAGGAAGCCAGATCCTACATGGATGACTACAGTTCAAATTTCAGCCCGAGCAACTTGAAAAACACACTGAGTAATTTGTATATGCATGCCCAAAATCCATTAATGTGGTGGAGAAATGGAGAAAAGTGATTGTGCTATGACTATGCTTCTTGTGACCCTGCCTCACTGGTGGGTGCTTTCTCTTTCTCTCCATCTCTCTTTCTTTGGGCAAGCACATGTGTCCTCTGGCACGCATGTGCGTGCGTTCCCAAGATCCTGAGAGGAGAATGGAGGAGAAGGGATTGTGATGTGACCATCCCCCCTGAGATGATGAGTATGCCAATTATCCTAATTTAATTGTTACACACTGTAATCTTGTACTGAAAAATTACATTCCATATCCACAAAACATTGCATTACATGTTAATTTAGAAATACTTTAGAAGGATCTTTCAAAGCATTGGATTGCGGAAAAAGTCATGATACATTTTTACATAGAAAAAATACATCATGACTTTTCTGACAACCCAATATTATAGTACAACAAATGTTACAAAATTTCTAAATTCTCATCTATTTATTAGTATCTAAAACACAAAAATAAAGATGTCATATACCTTTATTTCATAAACATTCAGTTGCTTGCTTTCTGCTGTACCTTTTTTCTTCAAGGTCTTATTCTGTTAAAAGTTAAAAATAAAGAATTATCTTTAGAACTAAAATGATTCAAACTAATATTGCCACTGATTTAGACTTAATTACACAGAAATAAAGCATTATCTAAAACCATAGTGAAAATATCAGTTTGATTTTTGAGAATAATTTTTAATAGTGCATACCTCCTGCTTTTTCTTCAATACACTTGCCTTTATTTTCAACTTGTTTCTTTAAATTATTACACTAAAAATTATGAGAAATTATAATTACTTAGTTATTAATATTAAACTTAATATTCTAGTCAAAACAATTTTATGCTAATAAAAATACTCCATAAAGTAACATTCACTGTGACTTCAAAAATCATGTTAAATAATTCCATTAATATAAATACTGTTAAAAAATTAAATTTAATAAAGATTATATCATTACAAATTTAAAATTCTTAACATTCTTAATCTACTTGAAAAATATATAAGTTCTGGGACCAGCAGTTAGCATAATGGCTATGTCGCTGGACTCCCACATAGTTGACTACGGTTCGAGTCCCGGACCCAGTGGCTTAAACTCACGCTGGGCGCGTGTGCGTGCGTGCCCAAGATCCCAAGAGGAGAATGGAGGAGAAGGGATTACAGTGTGGCCATCCCCCCTGAGGGGTGATTTCTTGCCTTCTGTCTGTCTCTGTCTGGCGCGCGCACACGCCCTATAGCAAAAACCTCTCCAAAAAAAAAAGAAAAAAAAAAGAATATATAGGTTCAGCTATTTTAATTACAAGAAAATGTATCTTTTAACCAACTTATATAGAAGGCTGAATCATATTATTTAGACTATGAAAAGCAGCAGCCACAGATAAGAATAACTATAATTTATCTTTTCCCTTTCCCATTATTCTCCATTTCTAGTTTTGAGATCTCTTTTACTCAGTGTATCTCACTTTTTTTAAAATATTGCTTTGTGGGACTATTTCACCAGTGGACAGACACGGAATAAGATTAAGTGTCCAAGAAATACTTGCAATACTATAAAAGCAGCACAGACCTCTTAGGGGTCCTAAAACACTAGATATCTCTAGATAAATTACTCTAGTTTCTATCAAAGTAGAAAGAAACATCAATGGAAAAAAATTTTAATCTTCCTCATTAGCATAACATAATCTCATAAGTATTATTCTTGCAGGAACTCATATGCAGTTACAGTCAGTTAATATTCTCAAACTGAATAACTATGGCACTGCTTTTTATAAGTGATTTATTTAATCTAAATTTTTGTATGTTCCCCATGCCTAGAAAAGGTCTCTTTCAGAAAACTCAAATGAAAACTAAGAAAGAAAAGTAAGAAATATTTAATTAGGTTTCACACCAATTTGACTAGTATAAACATATTAGCAGATTAATATATTTTTGGATACAATTTTTATTTATTAAAAAAATACAAAAACTTTCATATTTGGCAGTAAAGATACTCAGAGCTTCAGAAGCATCTTCCTGATAAAAATAATTTTTAAGTAAATGGCTAGGAAGCAAAGAATCTGCTTATTTCAAATTATTATTTTAAAGTGATAATAGTAGGTTTCTAGTTAGCATCAAAGTCAGCATTTGTCTAAAGGTTATCTGCTAAATCTACCCAGGAAAAAAAGAGACATGAGACAATATTTATAAAAGTTTCTCACCACTTTAAATATCTCTACAGTACATAAAATACTCATAAGTGTAAAGGTTAACCAGTAGTGTGGTAGCTAAGGCAGCTGGAGCCCCCATGGCCAACTGCGGGGTTCAAGTTGCAGACCCAGTGGCTTGAAAAACAAGCCAGGAACATGTTCACATGTGCCCCAAATTCCCAGAGAACAGAGAAGTTATAAATCTTTTCTCTTTGAAACACTACAAAAAAAAAAAAAAGTGAATCCTCAGCCTCTTCCAAGAACACCTACAATAAAAATTCCATATTATTTCTCAACATTTTGAAAGGAGAACTAAGATTTCCCATGGCCAACTGCGGGGTTCAAGTTGCAGACCCAGTGGCTTGAAAAACAAGCCAGGAACATGTTCACATGTGCCCCAAATTCCCAGAGAACAGAGAAGTTATAAATCTTTTCTCTTTGAAACACTACAAAAAAAAAAAAAAGTGAATCCTCAGCCTCTTCCAAGAACACCTACAATAAAAATTCCATATTATTTCTCAACACCTTGAAAGGAGAACTAAGATTTCTTTCTACAAAACAGTGTAAAGGCTGGCCCTGCAGGGTCCAATCACACATATACTGTTACAAAACCTAGATTCCCAAACATTTTTTTGAAATTTGAGAATACCTTGTTTTCTAACATCTTCATTTGTTTATCTTTTTTTAAAACTTCACATTCAATGCTTCGAACCTAAAATAATTTGATATCAGATTAAAAGTATTAACAAAATTTCTATTTTGTATCTTTTAGAAGTAGAATGATAAAATTTAGCCTTATATTTGTACAAATATAGTCATCAGCTCTTCTAGTTTATTTCGACATCCTTTTTTTAAAAAAGAAGTAATACTGTATGTCAGATAAGGGATGTTAACTAGCTTGCTTTAATCATTTCATGATCTATATATATATACATACATTATCAAAACATTACTTTGTACACCATAACAATCTTGTCAATTAAATTAATTTTTTTGCTGATTTCTTTTAGGTCAAGGTTCATCATTTTTATCTTAATCCAAAATCACTTTGCAATAGTTTATCATCTATCCCAGTTTATCTGGATTTTTTAAAATTATCTTGAATATAAATGTTTATAATCTCTCAAATATATCTTTAACAAACATTTGTTAATCTGAACTTTATAATAACCCAATGAGATTTTTTAAAAAGATAAGTATTTCCATTTTAGAGATAAGAAAAGTGAGGCTCAGATAGGTAAAATAAATATAAAATTTAAAATGTGTGAAGTGGGACCAGCAGTTAGAGTAATGGCTATGTCGCTGGACTTCCATATAGTCGACTATGGTTCGAGTCCTGGACCCAGTGGCTTAAACTCATGCTGGGCACATGTGCGTGTGTGCCCAAGATCCCAAGAGGAGAATGGAGGAGAAGGGATTGCGGCGTGGCCATCCCCCCCGGGGGGGTAGTTATGGCTTTCTGTCTCTCTGTCTCTCTCTGTCTGGCAAGCGCACGCACGCCCTATAGCAAAAAACCTCTCCAAAAATAAATAAATAGTGTGTGAAGTAACATAGATTGAGAGGGGGAATGATGATATTCTATGTTAAGCAAAAAACAGAAATATCTGCAACTTCTACTTGAATACACAGGTATTCCAAATATTTTCAACTTGGAAACTGTTTCAATATATAAATTAAAGCTGGAGTATGTTAATAATTTATCAGGTATTTTCTTCTTTCTAACTCATCATTTACATTTTCTTTTTTTTTTAACAGAGATTTTTGCTATAGGGCATGTATGCTCATCAAAGAGACAGAAAGCGAGAAACCACCCCCCAGGAGAGATGGGTGCACCACAATCCCTTTTCCATTTTCCTCTTGGGATTTTGGGCACACATGCACATGTGCCTGGTGTGACTTTTAAGCTGCTGGGTCTGGGACTCAAACTGTGGTCGACTACGTGGGAGCCCAACAACATAAATATTACGCCACCTGCTGGTCCCAATATTTTCTACATTGGTAAAATAATTTGTTTTAAATGATTAATAGAGAACCAGCTCCATAGCACAGTGGTTGAGCCCTGTGTGTGGGGAATTGGATTTCACAAAGCCAACCACAATTCCAGCCACACTGCATTGTAAAACACTCCAGGCACGTGTGCTTGAGTGCTCAAAATAGGGAATAGGGATTGTGACCATATGACAACATCCCACTGGGGAGTCTCTCTCTCTCTCTCTCTCTGTTGTACTCTTTCTTAAAATAAATTATTGATGGAAAACTTCAATTTTACATCAAACTCACTTTTTCCCATCAGAAACAATGTGCTTAAAGCTTTGAAATGGCCTCTGATGTGAATTTTCAAATCAGTGAATTATATACCAAGTATTTAGTAAATTAAATTCATGTTTTAAGAATTAATGGAAATTTAAAAATATGAACTAAAAATTAAAAAGTGGCTATTCAGGGAGAAAAATATAGTCTAAAGAATGTAGAAGACCAGTTCTTCTACTACTTATTTATATAAATCTTTTCAAATTTTTCACCCTTTGGAGGTCTGATTTCCTAATTCATAAAATTAGAACTACAATGACATCCAGCTAAGAAAGCAAACACAGATAAGAACTACAATATTATTGGCCTATTAAAAGTTCTTAAAAATGCTAGCTAATCCTAGGACCAGCAGATGACCTAATGGTTACATCACTAGACTCCCATGTAGTTGACCATGGTTTGAGTCCAGGACCTAGTAGCTTAAAACTCATGCTGAACACATGTGCAGCATGCCCAAAATCATGAAAGGAGAATGGAAGAGAAGGAACTGAGGCATGGCCATCCCCCCAGGGGATGATTTCTTAATTTCTGTCTCTGTATCTCTTTCTGTCTTTCCAGTGAGTACATACACCCTAGAGCAAAAATCTCTCTTAAAATTAGCTCATCCCATCCTTATACTATTTCAATAGTATTTTATTTTTCTAAAGTATAAATATAATTATGACAATCCTCAGGTCAGAACTCATTTGTGTCAAATGCCTATTTACAGCTTATGTGACCTTAAATGGTCCACCCTCATCTTTCTTCACCCTCATCTCTCCACACATCTCTTCCCACCTTCATCTTTGCCCCACTCCCTTCATTACTGCCACTATATGAAACTCCATAACCTTCCGTCATGATTTAAATTCTTATAGTTGCTTAAATATACCATGCCCTCTCATACTTACAGGCCTTCCCATATATAAGTGCATTTTAACTTGGAATATTCTTCTCCTTGCTGTATTTGTGTCCAATCCTATGCCTTCCTACCAACCTATGGTTTCAAACTGAATGTCACTTCTTCCAGGAAACCTGCCCTGACTCAAATTTACATTAGATGTCTTGTCTATGAATTCCAATGGCATCCATATAGAGGACCTACATCTGGCCAGTGCTCTTTCCTGCAAGAACTCCTTTACTATAAATGTTACAGTAATCCTGTTCAGTTCACGTAGTCTGATTTGGGCTATCTCTGTCTCCAGAAATGGGACAGACAGCTCAGGCCTAGCCAGATTACTCTGTCTCCTATCCCCAGTGATTGAGCCAGGAATAAGTAAATGAACTGAACTAGACCAGAGTCCATTTTGTTTAGAGCAGCATCTTTCATATCTCCCCATTCCTTTTTCAAATAGCAAAAAAGTCCCACCTTCCCAACAAAAATTTTAAATTATTACTGTCCACCAAAACAAATGAAATCCAAACTTAGCACCCAGAACAGCACCTGGCACATCACAGACTGTTGATAGTATTTATCAACTAAATGAGAGAATACAACCCAAGATTTCAGAATCTAGTTTGATCTATTTTAGCAAAACTTTCTCCCATTATGTATATAATATACTACAGTTATGCCACATACTATGTACTATTCCACTTTTGTGACATTTTTCCCTAAAAACTTACTTTCTATCTCAATTCGTTGAAATCACATTCACCAAAGTGCAATATAAAGTTACAATTCGATACCAGTACAATGTATTCTATATTACTAAAGCATGAGTCTTTATTTACCTAAAAATACAAATCAACATTAAATATGGAGCATTTATTAAAAGAAATTTAAAATCGGATCATTATTTTTTTAGATATAGATCATGTAAGCAAAATAATATAACTTTGCCTGTATTTTTAAGGTTGATGGGCTATAAGAGTCCTTTGATCACTAGTTACTTATATAAGATTAGGTCAGCAGAAGTCATGAAGTATTTTTCTATGCAAAAATGCATCTTGACTTTCTGATGATCCAATAGTACACTTTATTTTTCCTAGATACATGTTGTTGCTTTTATGATTTGAAATTTTGATATAATTTATTATTAAATACAACATACACTTTCTTCACTTTTGTCCAATTTACATTTAACTTCATCTGCTTTCTTTTTTAGTTCTTCTCTCACAGATTCTAGTTCATTCCTAAACAGAAATGGAAGAGTGATATTACATTAAAAATGATAACTTCATTTTATTTCCTTTATGAGATTTCTGAATTGCTGACTTTTTATTTTATGTTGTTGTTCAGTTATTTTTCTATTTTCTTTGGTAATTTTTCATACATTAATATCAATAGGCATACTTCCACTCCTAGATTTAAATTAATTTACATATTTTGAAATTAATTATTTGGATCCTTATAGTGATTTCTCTATTAAAAACAAAAATTTTAAAAACTAGAAAAAACACATTTCTTAAGACTTCCTTTTAATGTTTTCTTCCTCATAAACTAGTCATTAGTATAATATATATTCATAATTTCACACAAATAAGTTAGGAATATAAATACACATGATTTTAATAAAAAACTACATAACTAAAATATTTATATACCAATATACTGCATATATATATATAGAATATCTCTAGAAATATATACAAGAAACTATGATATCTCTAGGGAGGGAAAATGAACAGCAGAAACGGTCGTACTTTTCTTTCCCCATGTGCTCCTTTGTCCCTATGAATTTTGTACCATATGCGTATATTATCCTATAAAAATACTTTAATTAAAAACCTATCTGTTTTATGTAAACATAATGGCAATTTTTTTCTCAGATGGATACTTGAAGCTGTTTTCTCACTGTATTCTCCCTTCTTACCACTTCATATGTTGCTGAGTGTAGCTTATAAGCAAGGAATAGTATTTAACTATACAGAGTAACTAGTTTTGTGAAAACTAAATCTAGGATGTTTACTCTTTAAAATCTATATTCTTACTGTTCTTAAGTAATTTATAGAGTACTGTAAGTCTATACAGCAGGTAAACATGCAAAAGACATTATCAAAATTATCTGACTTCTCTTAAATAAAAAGTAGCCTCTCCTTAAAATGTGTCTCTACATTTTATTAGCAAACTATACAGCTTAATCATAGAGATCTAATCCACAAATAATAGCTACTTCAGAAGAAGAAAACTGAACAAAAAAGGACAAAAGCCATTATTAGAGTCATAATAAAAGATGATTTTCCAAATCTGGGAAATATTAACAGCTAATAACTATTAAGCACCAGGAACTGCACTTAGTTTTTTAGTAACATTAATTCATATAATCCTCAAACAATCCTTTCAAAGAAGTATATTAGGTCTAAAGAAGATCTCAAATTTAAAATAAGAGGAAGTTTTAAAGACCACATTCGTTAACCAAATATAAGACCCAAAGTGAATACTAAGAATATAAATACAAACAAAAGCCAGCAAACATTTGGAAAACATCTAAGCTACTAATGGATTGAAAGGAAACAATACATGAAAATGGGTTCTTTAGAAAATAATGAACAAAGAAACACTACATATCGGAGCCAGCAGATGACACAGTGGTTATGTTACTGGACTCCCACCTGGTCGACAGCAGTTTGGGTCCTAGACCCAGTGAACTGAAACTCACACTGGGCACGTGTGCATGTGTGCCATGATACCAGGAGGAGAATTTAGGAGAAGGGACTGTGGCGTGGCTATCCGTCATGGAGGATGATTTCTTACTTTCCTTCTCATGGTCTCCTCTCCTCTCCTCTCTCCTCTCCTCTCTTCTCCTCCCTTCCCCTCCCCTCCCCTCCCTCTCTTTCTCTCTGATAAGCGCACATGCCCTAAGACAAAAACCTCTAAAAAAAGAAAGATAGGAGACCTGGATTTGGCGTAATGGCTATGTCACTGGACTCTCATGTAGTCGACTATGGTTCAAGTCTTGGACCCCGTGGCTTAAACGCATGCCAGCTCAAGTGCATGCATGTCCAAGATCCCAAGAGGAGAAGGGATTGCAGCATAGCCATTCCCTGGGGGGTGATTTCTCACTTTCTGTCTGTTTCTCTCTATCTTTCAGGCAAGCACACACATAAAAACCTCTTCAAAAAAAAAAAAAGAAAGAAAGAAAGACAGACTGCATATCAAGCACCATGTCATATATGTATAGCTGTGTTCAGAAGTGTAAAAGCAATGATAAAAATCCCAAAAGACAATCAAATTTAATACCAATTGTAAAAACTTCCATATAACGAAAATTTCCCAAAGTTAAAGGAAAACAGGTTAAGGGTAATGTGTGCTATAGATAAAACAGATAAAAAATTAATATTTTTAAAAAGCTTAAACAAATCAATAAAGAAACAATAAAGACTACAATGGACAGCTGGTTTAAATAACCTTTTTTTTTTTTTTAAGGGGTTTTTCACTATAGGGCGCATGCGCTCGCCAGTCAGACAGAGACAGACAGAGAAACAGAAAGCGAGAAATCACCCCCCAGGGGAGATGGCCACGCCGCAATCCCTTCTCCTCCATTCTCCTCTTGGGATCCTGGGCACGCACACACACGTGCCCGGCGTGGGTTTTAAGCCACCGGGTTCAGGACGCAAACCGCGGTCAACTACGTGGGAGTCCAGCGACATAGCCATTACGCTAACTGCTGGTTCCCTAAATAACCATTTAAAAAAGAAGAAATTCTAATAGAAAAAACATGAAATATTCCAAAACTTAGCCAAAAAATATAAATGACAAATCATGAGAATAAAGATTTATTTTGGTGGCCAACAGGTGGGGTGATGGTTGAAGTTGCTGGACTCCCTGTAACTGACCACAGTTCAAGTCCTAGACCTGAGGGCTTGCTTTCTCACTCTCTCTCACTCTCTCAATCTGTCTCTCTCTGGTCAAATATAAATGAATAAAATAAATAAAGTAATAAAGTTAAATTAAAATCATTCTTTTTTTAGAAAAAGTTATTTTGTGTTTTAAATTACCAGTAAATTAATGATAATATCTAATAACAATTAAAATATTTTGCAATCAGATTTTTCATACAATGGTGGTTACACTGCATGGTTTATAAGTAATACAACCAATTGGAAACCATTTGACTATGAGGACATTTAAATCAAATGGTTAAAATTAAAAAATATTATATCCACTTGGTGTATTGGTATACAGTCATTAAAACAGATCATTGTGAAAATACCTAGAAACATGGAAGATGCTTAAAATAATATTAAATTAAAAGAGTCACGTAAAAAGAAAAAAATCAATGATTACAAGCAAGAACCAAATATATTCCTTAAGATACAGATGGGTATCATTATAACAATACTGTAATAATTGTTGGGATTAGAAAAAAAAATTTTAATTTCTCCTCTAAATTTTATACTGTATGATTAGTGTATTTTCCTAGGTAAATATTAAAGAATTAGAAAATGTATGCTGCTTTAATATTAATTTGTCTGATTTCACTATTTCAATAGTAAGTATAAAAGAGACATTATTGCTATTTTATCTTTAAGCAGGATTCCAAAACAGTAATTTAAGTCTAGTTTTTTCACTTCATACAATATTTGACATAAACTTACTCTGAATTAACTATAACAAGTTCATAGAAAAGGAATACTAAAATTTTAAAAATGCCATTTTTTTAAATGCCAACTCATTAGTCTTGCCTTAATTGTGTTTCTGTATCTTCCAGATTTTCTATTTGTTTCAACATTCTTTCTTCTTGCTTTTTGCTATTCTAAAAAAAAAAAACCAATGTTGTTTATATTATTTTGTTTCAACAAAAATAAAAGTGAAATTAATATTTAACACTTTTATCTATCAGCATAAAATTTATAAAGCAGGAGAATGGGCTATTTAACTTGCTTAGTTCCACATTACTTTTCTAGCCTTATTTGTACTACTCTCCTAAAAATATACAAGAGCTAACAAAACAAGTCCTGAGGGTCAGTAGGTGGCATGATAGTCAAGGCCCTGGACTCCCACATGGTCATGCTTGGCTCGAGTTCTGGAGCTGGTGGCTTGAAAATCACATCAGGCAAATGTACATGCATGCCCAAAAATCCCAAGAGGAGAATGGAGAAGGGATTGCAGTGTGGCCTTCTCCTCTGAGGGGAAGAGGGGTGATTTCTCACTTTCCCTCTCTCATTCTCTTCTCCAGCAAGTACATATGTCCTGTAGCAAAAACCTAAAAAAAAAATGGGCCACCAGGTGGTGTGGTGGTTAAGGTGCTAGACTCCCACATGGGCAATTGTGGTTCAATTCCCAGACCTGGAGGTTTGCTTTCTCACTTTTGAGCTCTCTCTCTCTGTCTCCTCCCTCTGGTAAGTGCACATGCCCTACAGAAAACTGAAAATGAATGATAATAATAAAAATTAAATAATTCTTAGGACCAGCAGATGGTGTAATGGTTACATAGCTAGACTCCCACGCAGCTGACCACAGTTCGAGTCCCAGATCCAGTGGCTTAAAATTCATGCTGGGTACGTGAGCATGCATGCCCAAAATTCTAAGAGGAGAATACAGGAGAAGAGATTGCAGCGTTGTCATCCACCCTGAGGGATGATTTCTCACATTCTGTCTGTCTCTCTCGCTCTCTCTCTGGTGAACGCATATGGCCTATAGCAAAAATCTCTATTAAAAAAAAAAAAAAAGTTTCTTGGGGACCAGCAGTTAGCTTAATGGCTATGTCGCTGGACTCCCATGTAGTAGACCACAGTTTGCGTCCCAGACCTGGTGACTTGAAACTCACGCCAGGTGTGTGTGCATGCATGCCCAAGATCTCAAGAGGAGAATGGAGGAGAAAGGATTGCAGCGTGGCCATCCCCCCTCGGGGGTGATTTCTCACTTTCTGTCTCTCTGTCTCTCTCTGTCTGGTGAGCACACACGCCTTATAAGCAAAAACCTCTCCAAAAAAAAAAGTTTCTTAATAACCAAAAACCTAAAAAAAGAATAAAGTCTTATTTGTTCTTCCCCAGCGAAACTTTGAGCCTTGTGTGTATCCTTTGTTCATATTGTGGCTTCAAGGAATGCTTTTCATTCATCATTACCTACTGAACTTCTGATTCATCTTTTAGGGCCAAAATTAATGCTCTATTCACTCTGAAACCTCTTCCACCAAGGCAGAAGTGATCCTATGAAATCTGATACCACTTGTTTCACTAAAGACACATATGATATATACTATTTTACGTTATTTGAACATTTACTATTTATCTATTACGTCATAAGCTCTTAAGGAGAAAGGGTGATATTTTATTTGTCACTGTATACTTCAGAGTCTTCTATGACTTAATAATGTGGTGACAAGACCAACAGATGGCATAGTGGTTATGTCACTAGACTTTTACATAGTCAACCATGGTTAAAGTCCCAGATTCAGCAGCTTAAAATTCCTGCCAGTGATGTGCATGCATGCCCAAGGAAAATGGAGGAGAAGGGATTGTGGTGTAGTTACCCCTCTGGAGGGTGATTTCTTGCTTTCTGTCTCTTTGTCTCTCTTTGTCTCTCTGGCAAGTGCACACGCCCTATAGCAAAAATCTCTCTAAAAAAATATATACATAGTGACTATACTTTACAAAAGTTTTAATGCTTAAAATTAGATTTATGTAAAAGTAGCGTATAATTCTAGTCAATATATTTCTAAAACAAAGTATCAGCTTTAAGACAGACTTAAATTCAAAAAGATCTTTAGATATTGTCTGTTGTGACCCCTTAATTTTATAGGCAAAAGAACTTAGTTATCAATACTTAATCAACTCACGGTTATATCTTCTTGCTGCTTCTTGAGCTCTAAGGCTGTATCACTTATTTTTTGTGCTAGTTCTTTGTTCTCCAGTGAAAACTTGTTGCAGCTTGCAGCTATTTCATTATTTTTAAGCCTATTTTAAAGGAAAAAAAATCATACCAAAATATTTACATATGAAATATGATAGGGAATTTAGTTCAAAACAATCTTAAGAGAAAGAGAAGAAGGGCTGGTGGGGTATAACTGAAACAAGATTGACCATTAGTTAATTCCTGAATCTGAATGATAGAATCACACTGGTTCATTACATTATTTCCTCTACCTTGCACATGTTTGAAATTTTTCTGTTAAGCTTTAGAAATGTCATACTATATATATTTCCTTGCCTATTTTCCACACACACATGCTCCCCATGAGATGCCCCGCATACTTTTCCACAAATTTTGAAGGTACATTATTTTCTTCACATAATTTTTTTCTCTCTACAGACTATCTCAGAAATTGTTTTAAGCTGGGGCTGATCCATGGCGTGGTGGTTAAGGTGGCTGGATCTCACATGGCCATCTCTGTCGTTCAAGTCCTGGACCCAGCATCTGGAGGAAAATGCTAGACATGTGTATGTATGCCCAAAATCCCAAAAGGAGGGAGAAATGTAGAAGGAACTGTGGAATGACCATTCCCCACTGCAGGGGGAGAAATGCTTTCTCAGTGTCTCTCTCTCTCTTGCTCTCTCTCTCCTGCATGTGTGTACACCCTCTAGCTAAATTTTTTAAATTATTTTAAACTTCTGATAGTTTAAGTAGTATATGAGGCATAAACTATTTTTAATTAAAATATTTTCATTAAATAAATAAAACTAGATTTAATTTCTGTACATAACACCTTAACTGTATTAGAAGGTCTCATATGTTCTACAATGAAAAAGATTATTGTGGGGACCAGCGGTTAGAGTAATGGCTATGTCACTGAACTCCCATTTAGTCGACCACAGTTCAAGTCCTGGACCCAGTGGCTTAAACTCACGCCGGGCGCGTGTGCGTGCATGCCCAGGATCCCAAAAGGAGAATGGAGGAGAAAGGATTGCAGCATGGCCATCCCCCCTGGGGGGTGATTTCTCGCTTTCTGTCCCTCTGTCTCTGGCAAGCGCACGCACCCTATAGCAAAAAAAAAAAAAGATTGTGGTTATTGATTGCAATCAGATTAATTTTAAATGAAATCTTAATCACTCTATAGAGTGATTTTAGGAACACCTCATCTCTTCCTACTTAATGATACTGAAATTCAACAAAGAAAAGATAGTTTTTTCACCAAGAATGAAAGGTTGAAAAAGTTACTATACCAAGGATAACATAACTATATACTACATGATAAATGACTAACTAGTCAATTTATTAAAAAAGTCACTAGTTAGTAGATGAATTTTATCCAGGGTCCCTAAAAAACTATTGTTGAAAGTATACTAGAAGCAAGGAAGAGAAGGGAAAAGATGCTGCAGAGCATGCTGTTTACTACCTATTTTTATCTAGAGCCAAGAACCAACCAAAAGGGAAAAATCATGTTACTACTAGACTGGCTACTTGAATTTACTTCTGAGTAAGAATGCAGTAATTATTTCCCTACTTTCTCTACATATTAAACTTACTGAGAAGGTGAAGTCATTCAATTAAACATTTTATTTGGATAATATAAGAAATAAATCTGTATTTTGACATGTTATCAACACAAACCTATGGAATAATTTAGAAAAACAAAATAACTAGTTAGAATTACAAATTATTTTTTTGTGGGAAACTAAATACCTCCAAGGAAAATTGATCTTCCTTGGCAGTTCTCAATTTTTTTTTTTTTGAGAAGTTTTTGCTATAGGGCATGTGCACCCGCCAGAAAGACAGAGAGAGACAGAAGGACAGAAAGCGAGAAATCCGTTCTCCACGCTGCAATCCCTTCTCCTCCATTCTTCTCTCAGGATCTTGGGCACATACACACATGTGCCCGGAGTGAGTTTAAGTCACTGGGTCCAGGACTCGAACCGTGGTCGACTACATGGCAGTCCAGCAACATAGCCATTATGCTAACTGCTGGTCCCAGTTCTCAAATTTATGATATTTTCTTTTTGTCAGTAATGTATACTTTCCTTAACAATGCAATTGATTATTTTCATCTTTAATTTGTAATAAGATGCAATTTTAAATTCATTCAAATTCATATTGAACATAATTTACTATTTATTATCAGAAAGCTTAGGAACTGAATACATAAGCTTTTTACAGGTAGATGAAAAACATACTTCTCATTTTCAAGCTCAATTTTCAAATCTTCAACTTGTTTTGAATAATGCTGTTCACTTATTGTAATGGCAGTTAACTGTATTCCCAAATCATATACTTCTTTCTGCAAAATAAACATGTATAACTATAACAAGTGTTTTTCCAAATTTCTCATTTAAAAGATAATGGTCAAATCTATGCAATCAAGCCATATATCTGGCAAAAAATTGGAAGGTTATGTCAAATAGTTTAAACCTAAGTAGATTTAATGTAATAATTATTATAATTTTAAAGTAATGAGCCATGACAAATACAATATAAGAAGTTCTATTTCGATATTCGAAAGCTCAACCAGTAAAATTATAGTTACCTATTAAAAAATTGAGACACACGCATTTGGGTATGAGTGTGTGTGTGGTGTTTTTTAAAAAGGGCTCCCTGTGTTATAATCCTCTTGCCTCAGCCTCCCAAGCAGGAGGGATTACAGGCACATGTGACTACACCCCAGATTTGAGGATGGACTAGGACTCCAACCCAGTGCCCACACATGGCCTCAGCCTGATGAGTACCAGCACTGGGAATGGGTCGTAAATATTAGTTTTATTCCACCAAGTAATTGATTTAAATAAAAATGTTATGTTATTAAAGAGAAATATATTATTTAATAAAATCAGATAGTACCTTAAAAATTAAGCTGTTCTTACTATAAAAAGCATACTGTAATACTGTTATGGATTAGAAACATTGAAAGAAAAATTCTAAAACAATACTATAACATAGTTATAATAAAACATATCTGAGAACCTAACTAAAGGTTAAATTTTAAATATACCAATTAAGAAATACTCAAGATATCAGGGTCAGCAGGTGGTGTGGTAGTTAAGGCATTGAACACTCCCACATGGCCAACCATGGTTCAAGTCCCAGACCTGGTGGCTTTCTCTCTCTCTCTGTCTCTCTCTCTTGTAAAATTAAAATAAATGAGGGAACCAGCAGTTAGTGTAGTGGCTATGTCGCTGGACTCCCACGTAGTCGACCGCGGTTCGCATCTCGGACCCGGTGGCTTAGATCTCACGCCGGGCGCGTGTGCGTGCGTGCCCAAGATCCCGAGAGGAGAATGGAGGAGAAGGGATTGCGGCGTGACCATCCCCCCTGGAGGGTGATTTCTCACTTTCTGTCTCTATGTCTCTCTCTGTCTGTCTGGCGAGCGCACGCGCCCTATGGCGAAAAAACCTCTCCAAAAAAAAAAATTAAAATAAATGAATAAATAAAAAATAAATAAATAATTCTTTTTAAAAAAAAGAAAAAAAGAAAGAAATACTCAAGACATCAAGAAATCTAGTTCCTGGGACCAGTAGGGAGCATGGTAGCTAAGGCGTTGGACTCCCACATGGCTGACCACAGTTCAAGTCCTGGACCTGGCAGTTTGAAAATCACACCAGGGATGTGTGCATGCATGCCCAAAATCCCAAGAGGAGATAGTCCAGAGACTGCAGCGTGGCCATGCCCTGTGGGAGATGATTTTTCACTTTCCCTCTCATTATCTGTATCTCTCTGGTGAGCACAGTACTCTATGGCAAAAAAAAAAAAAATGTAATTCTTATAAACCACAGCATTATGAATAATACTGATTTCTTAAATGTTGACCTGTTACTCCCACATTATGAGGGTTCTTTAGATGTGGTTTAAATCAATCATTAGCACATTAAATTTAACAGGAACACATAATTTTTTTTTTTTTGGAGAGATTTTCACTGTAGGGCGCGTGCGCTCGCCAGACAGACAGAGACATAGAGACAGAAAGCGAGAAATCACCCCCAGGGGGGATGGTCACGCCGCAATCCCTTCTCCTCCATTCTCCTCTCGGGATCTTGGGCATGCACGCACACGCACCCGGCGTGAGTTTTAAGCCACCGGGTCCGGGACACGAACCGCGGTCAACTACGTGGGAGTCCAGTGACATAGCCATTATGCTAACTGCTGATTCCCAGGAACACATAATTTTTGAAAATTCTGTCAAGAAATCTTTCACAAATAGCTATACCATAATCTATTTTGTACATCTATATTCTATTAACTAAATATTTGAAACAAAAATTTGTCCTAAACAAACCTCTCTGGTTTGCAGAAGACCAGTTAGTTCTTGTTCTGTTTCCTTTAATTCTTCAGCAATCTTCTCAAACTGTTTCTTTTCATCTAAAAGCTTTTGATTTTCTGCCTGTTTAAAAACAACAACAAATCATGACCGCTAAGCCACAGATATATTCAAAATAATTAACTATCTAAATAGAACTGTGGAAAGAATTATGAGTTTCTCCTTTACCAAAGTTATTTTAAAAGACAAGTCTTTGTTAAGTAAATTCAGAAACCAAATAGGATGATAGAGGATTCAATGGAAAGAGCCCTGGAACAAAATTAGAGCATTTTCTTTAAAAAAAAAAAAAAATCATACAAGTCATTGAACTTAAACCTTATCTTAAGGTTTAAAATCACTCCAACCTCCCAAAAAGTAAATAATCACTATTCTATCAACCTTTGTTGCACTAACAAATATGCTTCCTTATAATTTTCATTAAATGGTCATTGTTCTTTCTTCTATAATCACATAGAAGAAGTCTAATTCCTTTTTCACACAATAGCTAACAATTATTTGAAGAGAGTTCTCATTATTCCTTAAGCTTTCTCTTAACTATTCTAAAATCTCTAGTTACTATTTTTTCCTATGAAATTATTTTAAATCACCTCATTCCCTCAGGAGGGGCTCAATTTATCACTGTACTATTTTAAACAAGGTGTCAAGAATTTACCCCAATGTCTAGACCAATGATTAGAAAGTACAGCTGACAGGCCAAATCTTTTTATAAATATAGGCAATCTATTCATTTATTTGTTGTCTATGCCTATTTTGCCCTATAACAGCAAGCTGAACAGCTACAGCAGAGACCATGTACTCTAAAAAATGTAATGTTGATCTTTTACATAATAAGTTTATTAAATCCTGTTCTAGACAAGTCCTGTACAATAGAACTTTCTGTGATAATGGAAACATTTTCTGTAGTGTCCACAATAATGGCCATTAAGTATTTCAAATGTGGCTACAGCAACCAAAGAAATGTCTTTCAAATCTGATTTCCTTTTTTAAGAATCATTTTTAAAATATTTATTTATTTATTTATTTTAATTTGACCATAGAAGGACAGAGGGACAGAGTGATAGAGAGAGAGAGACAGAAAGTGAGAAAGCAAGCCACGAGTTCTAGGACTCGAATAGTGGTTAGCCATGGGGAGTCCAGCACCCTTCACCACCATTAACACCTGCCAGCCCCAAATCTGATTTATTTTCAATGCAAATTATATGGGTAGTAACTATCATACTGGACAGCACCACCTTAGAAACAGTAAGACAAAGTATACCACAACATGAATTATTTATGGATGCTTAATTTTAATCAATCCTCCTGCTATCCAACTTAATACATATTTACAAATTCACTTTTTACTTTGTTTACTTAAGCATGAGGTCACAACTATTTTTTTAAAGCCTGACAATAAAATGTTTTATATCATTAACCATAAAAACTACTAATTCTAGTTAAAGAGTCTAGATTTGATCTATAGGCAGTGTGGATCAATCAACAAAGATAATATTAAAATGGGCCCCACCAAGCAGTGGTTAAGCACCATGCATTGGGATCCAGATCCCACATGGCCAACTACAGTTAAAATCCCAGGTTCAGTGGTTTGAAAAAGATGCTGGGTATATGTCTGTGCCCAAATCTTAACAGGGTGGAGAAATGAAGGATGATTGTGATGTGATCACACCTCATACCTCACACCTCATTGGGGGATTCTTTCTTTCTCTTCCTCTCTTGCTCATGAGCACACAAACCCCCCTGGCAAAAAATAAACAAAGAAATTGAAAAAAAAAAAAACACTAACAATAGTGTAGAAGAAATTTTAAATCGGGTGAACCTAAATAACAAGGAAATCAGTTACAAAACTACTATGTTACAACAAACAAGAAATATCAAAAGTTTAAATTACATCAGGGACTGTGGAGATAAACTGATAACTGTAACCAAATTTGAGTGACTCCAGTATGCCTTATCCTAACTAGACTTTGTTTTAAAGAATTAATTATGTATTATTCACCATCATCATCATCATCATTATTATTTGAATTCATCAGAAGAGAGAGAGAAAGAAAGTGAGAAAGTAAGCCTCAACTCTGGGACTCACACCACAGTTAGCCATGTGGAAGTCCAGCACCTTAACCACCATGCTACCTGCTGGCCGCCCTAACTAGATGTTTTAAGAGTATTTTTATTCCTTTTACTACCCTGTGCATGTTAGATATTTGTAACTCTATTTTACAGAGAAAAAGATAGAAATAATCATACAGTTTTCAGTACATCACTATAAGCTCATATCTACAGACCAAGTCTCCCACTGATGACCATTATAAGATCTGGACAAAATACTGGATATATGTTATAATCCTTAGAGTAACCACAGGAATAAATGCAGAGAGCGATAGAGACATTACATTGTAGCACCAGAAGATATCCAAACAATACAAAAGAAGGTTAAAAGTATAAAACAGGTGGTCTTCCCACAATAGCACTGTGGCAGGGCCTGCCCTTGGGAGCTTGAGGTTGTGGCCGGGGATGGAGTGCTGGTAGTAGACATGGGTAGCATAGGCTGTGAGCTCCTCAAGAACCTATATATGTGTGTGTTCACCCACATACACCTGTTTTAATCTTCACATCCAATTCTATACTACAAATCCAAATGTGACTATGCTTTGGCAGATTGATCTGGATACTATTAACATCAGCAACCTCAATAGGCAGTTTTGGGGGTTTTCCCCCACTAAAGAAATATGTTTGAAGATCAAAGGCACAGGTTGCCAAATAAAGTGTACTACAGTTTTACCTGAAAGCTAATATGAAAGCTTACCTGAAAGCTTACCATGGCAGTATCATGAGCCCTGACTATAATGTGGAATTTTTTCAACAGTTTATATTGGTTATTAATGTTTTAAAAAACAGAGCTGCTCAAAACCATGTTAACAGAATGTGCTTGGCAGCTCATGTCCCCCTTACTGAGAGGGACTTCTGGCTATCTTGGTCAAGTAACTACTGTCAAAAAGGGTTTAACAAGTGCTATAAATGTCATCCTAAGCCACCCCAGAGAACTTTCCCTGGCTGTACAATCCATAATACACCTTCAGAACCTATCCATTGCATTGTTTAAGCAAAGTATTTGTTCAACCAGTTGTTTGGGGAAGAAGATGTTGACCAAGAAGTATCTCCTGACAGAGCTGAACCTGAAGTGACCTGGGAACCAATAGAAGCCAAAGCCAGAGCCAGAGCATCTAATGAATACAGTGACATTAAATGTATTTTCACTAAGGAATGGACTAAATCAACTGGATATGATCCCATAAAACATTTTTATCAAGGTTTCTTAAAGATGCTATCAGGTATCTAATGACAATGGACAAACTATGGAGGAAAAGAAACCTCCAGTTCCACTGGGTTGAAGTACAAAGTAAAGGCAAAGAAACCAATGCCTCCTATCAACAAAACCCCAGTTTGGTCTAAAAGGTCAGCAGGTTCTGGATGTAAAGAGCTAAGCAAGCCTATTTGCAAAGAGCACTGAGACTTCAAGAGTTCATTTAGCAGAAAAAAGTGATGGAGCTGAGTTCATATGGAATAAAGATGACCCATCTGCAGTGGATTTTATCAGCTCTGCTGCAAACCTAAAGAAGAATATTTCCAGCAG